CCTTCTTCCTTCTCCGTCACCCACACCCATCCACCATGGCCAACCACCTTGCACCTTCTTCCTCCTCCATCACCCACACCCATCCACCATAGCCACCCACTTTGCACCTTCTTCCTCCTCCATCACCCACACCCATCCACCATAGCCAACCACCTTGTACCTTCTTCCTCCTCCATCACCCACACCCATCCACCATGGGCAAGCACCTTGCACCTTCTTCGTCCTCCATCACCCACACCCATCCACCATAGTCGACCACCTTGCACCTTTTTCCTCCTCCATCACCCACACTTACCCACCATAGCCAACCACCTTGCACCTTCTTCCTTCTCCATCACCCACACCCACCCACCATAGCCAACCACCTTGCACCTTCTTCCTCCTCCATCACCCACGCCCATCCRCTATATCCAACCACCTTGCACCTTCTCCCTCCTCCATCACCCACACCCATCCAACATAGCCACCCACTTTGCACCTTCTTCCTCATTCATCACCCACACCTGGCCGCCATAGCCGACCACCTTACACCCTCTTCCTCCACCATCACCCTCGCTCACTTAAGGGTCGTAGGGGGTTCCAAAGGGCACGGGGGACCTTAGGTAGACCGGTAAGGGTAAGTGAAGGAGTAAGGTTGATTAGGATAGGAAAGCATATCTCTCTCTCGCTCTCTCTCTCTCTCTCTCTCTCTCTCTCTCTCTCTCTCTCTCTCTCTCTCTCTCTCTCTCTCTCTCTCTCTCTCTCTCTCCCTCTCTCCTTCCTTCTCTTCCTATGCGCTTGACCTTTGCCCGTATTCCCCCCCTTCCTTCCCCTCCGTGGCACATGACTAACCATCCCTCTCACTTGTTACATTGCGAGGGAACGAACGACAAAGAACTTGGTCCTTACTTGGTGGAGAGAGAGGGTAAGGGGAGGGTTGTCGGTCCCTTGTGCCACCAAGAAGGAAAGGAACAGGACCTGTGTGGAAACTTGGAAGACGGGATCTTTTTGAAAAGAGAACTGAGAGAGTGAAAGTTTGAGACAAGGTCAGTTTGACTCAACCATTTTCCTTGACTGCATGACTAAGGAAGAGGCATGGCTTGCTTGAAGGAAGGGAAATAGAACAAAAGGGTCCATTGGGAGAGAAAGGAACTTAGGCTTGCGGGAGGGGCAATGTGTTCACCCCAATGGGGATTGTACTTTGCTTTGTGTGGTCTTGCGCAGGTGAGTAGCTTAGGATGGTTTGAGCGGGACTGGATCCGCGGAATGCGGGCAAGAATGGGAAAATCGACAAGGGAAGGACATGGGCCTAGCATAAACTATGAATGTGGGAGGGATTTAATGATTGAGTGCATGGATGAAGGACCAACGACGGGATGCGACCTTGCTTGATGGATGGGTGGCATGACTCGTTTGTGTGCAATGCAAGAACCCGAAAAGACTAAGGGTAGCAATAAATAAGTGGATGTAATGTTAAGTGCCTCAGGCGAAAAAAATCATAGGGGCTAGGGGACGGGAGGCACCCCCGCACCCCGAGGATGCCGTAGGGAGTGTCCCGAATTATTGCGCCTAGTGAAAAGGTGTGTGGTCCAATGGATAACGCTTGGTCTGCACACGAAAGAAAACAAATCTTCAATGAACTCCCTGGACTGCTTGCGTATTGGAAGGAGCAATTGCCTGGTCACACTTAAATGAATCGAGAAAACGTCACGAGTGACCAAAGAGCTACCATCTAACACGAGAGCGAAGCTACATCCCCCAATGTAAAGCCCTCTCGTAAAAGGCCCATCCCCATCATCTCATAGCACTAGGTGGGGGTGCCCCTGGGGCAAACGACCCGTCCCCTGACCGTGAACGTGGGCGGGTCGAGCCAAATGGGACCCGTAGTGGGGTCGACCACGGCTCGAAAGTCCTTCAGGGTACGGCCCCTACAAAAAATGGTGGAGGTGCCGGGTATGGGTTAAATTGACCCATACGATCTCGAGGGGGGCGCCGGACGCATGACTGTGTACATAACTAAAGATAAGGGAACGAGGACTTGTGTATGCTCTATCCCCTTGAGAGAATAAGATTTGAGGGCGGCTGGGCGCATGGCAAGGCCAACCCTGGAGGAATAACATGCATGCTGTGCACTTGATCAGCCATCTCCCTTGTGAGGTGACTCTAATCCTCCTCTCAGACTGATGTTCGTCAGACCGGGGAAGCCTTGGGCAAGCCGCGGGTCGACCCTTCCTCTTCGTATGAAAGAAGGGCTCCGGTTACCTAGCAGGCGGTTGGAATTCCGGGCTAGTCCGGGTTCCGATGAAAATCCCGCGGCAGAGTGATCCGACCGACACGGGTGCTTTCTCTTCTCTTCTTTGGAGCCCAACGGGCTCCTTGCGCTGCACTTGAAATGCTTGAAGGAACCCCATATGAACATAACGGGTAATCGAGAAGGAACAATCCTGCCCTATGAACGGGCACACAAGCGAAGATGAGGGGAATGAAGGGAGTTGCTAGACTCCAAGAAAACTAGCTCACCTTTGAAGATGCTCACGAAAAGGAACTGGGCACTGTGTATGGAAGCTAGGGGTGAGTGGCACACACGATCCTGAGAGAAAAGTTGTGAGCTATGGGTAGGAAGCGCTGGGTGCACTAAGGGAAAGACACTTGTACTATGTGTGTCCCACTTGGGACTTGTGTTTGCATGATGGGGATTTGAGCGTCCTGCCTTTCGGAAGGAAAGGAGGGGTCTGCACCGGTCGGTGCGGGTTGCGAAACGTCGCTCCCTTTTTGTAGGTTGTCGTGTGTTCATGTGTGGAGGTCAGGCCACCGAGCTGTCGGACGGGAGTTTGTCACGCCGGGTGATTAGTAGCATTCTCATTCGAGCGGTGACGGGCTTTGACTCGATGATCTGTCGGGCGGGGTGTGAAACGTCTCCTGAGGCGGGCTATGGAAGCTAGGGGTGAGTACCACTGCATGCGGGCAAAGACGGAGTCTCGGGGACGATTAGTAGCCTCTCGTAGCTTGGTTTGGGAAAGGTTGTTCCTTGTCGGACCGATGGAAGTGAATGCCCGGACGACTGACTTTCGTCCCAACCGGGGTATGCAGGGGTAATTCCCGGTACCAACAGGGGTGTGCAAAAACAACAATACGGGATGGGGTATTCTAGGCAAGAAGGTGAGGGTGACCCCCCACTGGAGTCTGGGTACCGCGCTTGCCACGGTTGAGCTGTGCTTGAGGTACGGGATAAAACTCTACCGATAGTAACAGTGGAGAGACCACTTTGGGGAAAAGGCCGGTGAGGAGATGACCGGCCTGTGTGTGAAGCTTGCCTGATTTTGCTTCTTTTGTGTCTCCCTCTGTAAAGTTTGCTTGAGGATGTTGGGCAGGAAACTGAGCTTCTAAGTCTACTCTCGCCCCCTGTCTAAGTCCGCACGAGTGAGAGAAGACGTGGGTAAGCATGGATAGGAGTCGGAAGGAAAGAAACCAAGAGAAAGGAATGACGGTTGGTGGTGATCGATTGGGGGAACGACGGGGCAGCGACATCTGGGAAATGGGTAGGGAAGGTTAGGGAGACCCGGATGAGGGGTCTGAAAACAATTCTCATATAGAAATGGAGGCAGTTTGACCAAGAGGGGCCATGTGGTGCTCTCTTATGTAAACAGGACCGGAGCCGGAAAAACGAGATGGCGCGGTGGTTCTCGTCTCCTGTCTACTCTAGTGGTCCGGAAATGCCAATAGACGTAAAGGACGGGGTATTTGTCGTCCTCCCGGAAGAAGGAACGTGGACAGACCTGGAGCCAGCCTATCAAACTGTGATGCTGGACGAAAAGGACGAATTCCTCTGGATAGAGACAACCTGGACTAAGGTCAGCCTGACGAGACTGTCGCCGAGCTTGATGGACTTAAAACTCCGGGGGACGGTGGAAGCCCGTGGGTGGGTCTACCTATCCCAGGAAATGGAAAATGCAATGGTTATAGGATTAGTACTGGGCACGGCACCGGTCCAGTTGTTTAGACAAGCGGAACGAGAAGTGGTATGGGCGGCCTGTCAGCGGGCGGAAATGGAAATGGACAAAGTAGAGGTGCGAGTGGAGCTCGGGGACAGGGGAAATATGAGACGGCCCCTTAGGACGATGAGGTGCGTGCTACCCCCGTTTCTGGTGGACGCGGTCTTCGGGACCAGGGGTAGATTGGAGCAAATATGTCGGTCAATGGCGCCCTTGAGGCTGTACCAGTGCCCTCGACAGGGCTTCTTTAAACTGTCGGTAGAAAAAGGGTCGTTCGGAGGGAACTGGGTGGAGGAATTAGCTGAGGTATTGAACCTCCTCAACAAGGATGATGTCTTTGTCCCTAGCCCAGTGCATTGGCGGATAGTTTATCGAAACGTGGCAGTGGGTGAGACCTTCCTAGAAGGACTAAAGGACTTGTTCCTTGACGAGGAGGAGGATTTTAGTGATGACGAGGACGAGGACGGGATAGAGGATTGAGACTTCTGAAGGGGGACTTACCCGGGGAATGGGTTGTCGTCTATGTGCAGGTAGGGAACGATGGCCCGAGAGTTCCAGCCGAGGGATTGCACATTCAAAGGATGGGAACCGAGACGAATCAAAGGGGGGGTAGAGATGTCTATACCAACAGATAATGAATGGAGGGGGACCACGTGCGACTGGGTGGGGCATGAAATCGCACCAGAATTGTCATACCTATGGATAGAGCGTGTCTAGAACCCGCTAAGAGAAGAGGAAGGATGAGAGGAGATTGCGGAAGGAAGGGTGGAATCGGTTGGGGCGGTCATCCTCTCCTAGCAGGGATGACACTTGTTTTGCACGATGCTCGCGGCGGGGCAAAACCCGATGTGGCTTCTAGGGGACGCTGAGGCGAGGCCTCGGCAGGCGGGGGAGAAGTTTGCCAACAAGGGATGGGATGTGGTCAGCAGTAAGGTCGTGATGGGGGGATGGAAGGAGTTTAGACCTCCCTACTTGCAAGTCAAGACTTGGGTACCCGAGTTCGTGGTTGACTGGTTTGGGGGCTTCGACCACATTGTGGAGGTGGCTAGCACTATGAGGCGGGTACACGTAAATTGCGCATGGCTGACGAAAGAATTCTATAAAACGTCGCTGAAATTTGGGCCCTTCCACGGCGACAAAGCCTGAGAGGTCCTCATCATTTTGGATATTGAAAGGTACGACCGGCTAGAGGTGGCGCCAAAGATTAGAGAAGCTATAATTCGTCGAGAGATAGCCGCTACGCCCTGTTATGTGGATGACGTGTTTAAACTATTCGAAGTACTATGGTTCGATTAGGAGCAGGGAAAACCGCAGGGCCAGGCGAGTGTGGAAAAAAAACTGAGATAAGGGGGTGGGATGTCTGGCCATTGTAGGGTTCATTGCGGATTGCGGACTAGAAGACCAAGGACAGGCGCACGATGGCACGAAGGAGGACGCTCCTTAAGGACCGCCCGCTGGGCATTGAGCCACCAAGGGAGGTGACTGGCGGAGTGGAAATCAGCCTGCCTGCCGCGAGCGAGGGCTGGTGCCCGGTGGTGGACTGGGTCGGGGTGGAACTCATGGAAAACACGGTTTACTTGGTAACGAGGGTTGAATGGCGCGCGGGTGAAAATGGCGAGTGGAACCCGGATCCACGAGGACATGTGCGTGCGGAAGGTTGGTTGTATGTGTCCGAGGACGGGTGACGGGCGTTCATAGTCCTGTTGGCCTCAGGGGAAGATCCGTTAAGTATGTTCGAGGGGGCATGGCAGCTAGTGTGGCAGGCAGGGTTCGAATTCGCGGACCCGGAAGTTGATGACGTGACGGCGAACCTTAGAGTAGCCATGGCCGGAAGTTTCCATTTGCCTAGAGAGAACATTCGGATGAGATTGCCGCCCTTTTTACTAGAAAGGCTAGGCGGGCTGGAGTTTGTCAAATGGGCTGTAGTCGACCTCGCCGACCTGACATTTGAAGACGCGGTGGTCCACCAAGAGTATTACCGGGCCATCCAAGAAATGAGGCCGTTCAGCGGTGAGCAGAGGTATGAAGTATTGTGAATCCTGCACGCCATATTTACCACCAGACCAAGGGCTCCAATTGTTAGCGACGAGGTTTTATGGGGCGTTGTTCGACGAGAGATAAGTCGGGGAATGACTTACGTAGATGACCTGTACCGTTTGTATGAGCTGCCGGGAGTAGGGGCAGGATGATAAAAGAGACAAGAAAAGAAAGGGGGATAAAGAGGGGAAAGGATATCGAGTTAAGGACCGGAGAGTTGCTCGGGTGGGGGTCGAAGAAAGGAAGAAATAAGCAAAACTCGCTTGCTCTTTAAACTATGCAGGGGACCGCTAATCAACAAAGGCGATGAGACGCGCCCGGATGTCGCGACGGCCCACGCACCCTCGGCCACCCACGGAAAGTGGAGGCGGATGGGAGGTATCGCTCCTGACAAGCTACATGGTCCGAGGAATTGACACCGAATGGAGAGCTGTGACCTTGGGAAGGGACCAGGCGTTCATGATGGTAGAATGTTTGTGGAGTGGTATGAGGTTCAATAGGGGACCATGGGACCTTTATACTGATCTGAAGGTGACAGGAACCGTATACCTACCAGAGATTGGATGGCACATGTTAGGAACAGAGTTGGCGCTAGGGCATGGGCTGTTACCGATCTTCCAAAGGGCTACTAGGATACTGAACCGAATAGGCCAGGAAGTGTGAGGGAGAAGGAATGTGGGATTGAGAACCCGGGTGGAGGTAGGAGGATGGCGAGAGTTTAGGGCCCAAATGACGTGACTGCGGTGCCGAGTGCCTCGATTCATGGTGGATTTGGTATTTGGCAGCCTCTCAAGGGCAAGGGACCTGGTGGATTCGACCCTGGTTTGGATCCACCACTTCCGGCCACAGACGACGGGAATGTTTTACGATGTGTCGGTTAGGCACGGGCCGTTTTGGGGAAACCAGGCTCGTGAACTCTTGAACTCATCGAGATTTTCATATTTCGGTTACCACGCTTGGCGTATGAGGAATATGAACCAATAATCATCAGGGAAATAGAAATGGGAGAGAACTACCTGGCAGGAGTGGCTAAGCTGTTCGAAGAGCCTGACGAACAGGGCGGGCCTGAGGAACCGGCGTGAGAAAAGTACCGGGGAAAAGCAAAAAAAAATAATAAAAGCTGGGAATTGGAATGAGAAACTAAGACGTCTGCAAGGGGGCAGTGGTCAGAGTTCTGCCTTACCTGAGGACAAGGCAGGAAGGAACTGGGAAGACCACCCGCGCTAAGGACGTTGGGGCATTCAGGTGGGGCATTCAGGTGTCAGGAAGTCAAAAGGGCCACCCTCGAGAAGGGAGCCGCTAGCCTCGGACACCGCCCTAAGGACCGGGCCACAACAGTGAGGGAATGCCAAACCGCGTCAACGAGCCTCCCGGCAGAAGAAAGGTAGAACGACGCTCTGTAGAAAAAGGTCAGGTGGGTCATCCCGACTAATATAAGACGGGAAAACATGAAAATAAGCGAATAAGGGGGGATTTTAGGGCTCGGGGGCTAGGGAAGCTATGAACAACCGGCCGTTTCGCAAAAACAAATTTCCATGTGCAGGCTAGGTAAAGGGATGGCGTCAGAAGAAGAGGCCGAGGGACTGTGGAGCAAAGGGAGTTAGGGCACGGATAGGGATACGGAACGAAACGAAGCGTCAATAAGGGATCGAGAGTCAGCAAAACCAGAGGGAACCACGGAAGATGGGAAAGACCTTTCGACAGGGGAAAGGTCGGGGAAAGTTGGGGGAAGCAAAAGAGGACCCCAGGAAAATAAGGAAGAAAGGGACAACGCCAGGACGAGCCCTCGAAACTTGGAAGGGACCACGCCCAAGAAAACGAGGCTCTCGGACGCACGCCGTAAGCTGGCAGAAATAGAAAAGCGAACCGCAGAGTATAAGGCGAGACTCATTGAAGAGAAGATGGCTGGGAACGAAAGAGACCTTCTGGGAGAAGGGTCACGAGAGGAACGCAGGCCCAGCCAGGGTAGAGTCAGGCACGGAGGGAAGGATAATAGCCATACGGGAACGCCCAGCAAGAAAGAGAAGGAAAAGGGGGACTCCCCAGCTGTAGAGGCGGAAAAGGCCATGACCCCACATGCTATGGACAGTGGTGCTAGCTGTTTGCCCGCCACGTTGAAAGTAACGAAGGGGTGCGACGGACTTTGGAGTCTAAGAGAAAGGGTGCTAGGATTGTTTGATCCGGAGGGTACGCTAAAGGCTGGGGAAAAGCAGAGGGATAGCAAGGAAGGGGAAGGGACCAGTACGGTCGGTGAGGCAGGGAGCTCTGAAAGAGAATAGTAGCCACCCTCACTCGGGCTCTGAATAAAAACCACGGGTATCTGGCAGATGCCAAGAAGAAACTCACTTTCGACGGGGCAAACATTACGGAGTTCCTGATAGACTACGAGAACCTGGCAGCCTTGTTGAAATGGACTCAGGAAGAAAATATGGACCACTTAGGGCAGCATGTGTCGCTAAGCTTAGGAAGGGACATTATGGCTATTGGCGCCTCTAGTGGATCCTGGAAAGAGACCCGGAACGAGATGATGAGGAAGTACCTGAAGGCAGAGAACATGGCAACAGAAGCTGAATTGGCGGTAGTCCAAAGGAAGAACTACGCGACTAACAACGACTTCCTAAGGGTGTTTACTCTAGTAGCACTACGAATTCTCGGAGTAACAGACCGTATAATGAGTAAGTATTTCCTCAGGCAGTTCTCTGAGTTCGACAAGGATAAGATTTTGTCGGCCTACCAGCAGACTAGTAAGTTCGAGTACACAAGGGATGCGGATTTCAGCACGGTAACAGACCTCTCAGAAAAGACAGTAGTGACCGAGACACTAGCCCTGCTTAAGGAAGGAGAGGTTATAGACCTGACTGAGAAAACGGGGGATAAGGTCAAGAAGGGGAAAGAGAGCCTGCACGAACGGGTGCACAGGGTCGATAACAAGATAGAAAGAGTGGAAAATGCGCTATTAGTAATGCAGGCGCAGGTGTCCCAACCCGCCCTCCCGCCTCAAGAGGCCGTAGTTTCGGCGGCTGTAGCAAATCGAGGGTATGGCAGAAGGGATCCCGCCAATGAGCAATGCAAGTATTGCACAATGGTCGGGCATTTCGTACGGACCTGCCCAAGACTCAACCATGATATCATGAGGCAGAGATGCAGCAGGTCCCTTAAAGGCGAAATTTTCGGGCCTCAGGGAGAGCGCATAAACTAGAATTCGCTAGGAGGGATGCGGCGTGTCGTCATCCTCCTGAATAATCTGGATATAGCTGTCGTAAAAGCAGAACCGGTAGCCGACATTGTTTGGGACCAACCAAGGGGACGCGGACTACAGGCCAATTTCATCCTAGAAGGTAATGGACAGAAAAGGGTGAACATCACCACCCGGCGGGCGGACGCAGAAAAGAAACTTATTCGAGATACGGTAATGAAAGAGGTCGCGGGTACTAGTGCAGATCAAGGTGAAACTGAGACCGGGGAACAGGAGAAGGTTTATGGAAAGACAAGGGAAGAGGAGCCAATAGACAAAGCCACGGCGACAAAGAAGAAATTCAGGTACCAAATTCCGATCCTGACTATGCCAGAAATCGACGACACCCTGAGCAAACTCCTAGGTACTATGGTATCTGTATCATTTCAAACCATGCTGCAAACAAGCCCGATATTGCTAAAAGGTCTCAGGCAATTGCTAACGCGCTGACGCGTAGAGATAGAGGAGACCCCGAAACCACAGGAGCAAGAAACAGAAGAGGCCGAGGCACCGCAAGGGGTCTCCAACCTCCAGAGGATTCCAGGGGATCTAGAGGACCTGGAAAGAGCCTTTGCAGACATCCGCCTAAGCCTACCGGACCGAGAAGGTGGTGAAGTCATTAGGGCGCTACCCGGGACGAAGCTTAGCTTTCATGCATTGCCCGTTGGAAAGTTGAAAGTCCAGATCGGAACCCACCACACAGATGCATTAGTGGACGGTGGTGCGGAGATTACCCTCATACGACGAGACTTTGCAACAATCACGGGTTGTACGGTGAACAGGGAAGTAACGGGAAGTATCCGGGGAGCCGGCGGCGAAATCCCCTTCGCAGGGTATGTCACCAAGTGCGCAGTTAAGGCAGGAATCCGGGAATCGATCTGGTCTTTTCGGCGAATGACCGTAATGGAAGACATGGACCATGACATAATCCTCGGGAGACCATGGTGCGCCAACGTAGAAATAATAGGCATGCATCTGCATGATGGCACGTATATAGTGGATATAGAGGACCCAGTGACCGGCCACGGAGAACTCCTCCGACTCCTTGGGACCGGAGGGGACCCTCCGAAGGGCAAGTTGGCAACCTGGTCGCCAATGTTCGAAGAAAGTGCGCGAAAGGGGGCATTCGCACGGATGGAAGGTATGAGGGAAAGAGTAAAGATCATGATTGAGGAGGCCTTTAACAAAAAGGAATGGATCAAAATGGGTCTGCCTCTGAAGAAAAGAAGGCAAGAGGACGAGGTCCTGGAGGCTATGGTGGCAGAGAAGGAGTCGAAAGTCGAACTCGGGGTCAACTTGCCCAAGTCAAAGGAAGGTCGGAAGGAAACACCGGACGTAGTGCTTGAGATTCCGGACTTGTTACAGCTCGTTAAGGCTATCAAGTACCACAAAGTGGGGGTGGACCCGACAACGCTTGCCAAATTCGAAGACGAGGTCCGAAAGGGCTACTGTCTGAACGGGAAGCTAGTCAGTATCCAGCCTCGCGTCCTGGAGGTAGCAAGGCCGATCCCGACCGTTCATTTTTTAGGAAAACGATCCTAGAAGGGAGTGTGCGAAAGTACAAACCCGTAGGGAAGAAGGCCAAGCCGGTCTCGATCCTAGTAGAAACGTCAAGGAAAGAGGTCATGGAAAAGGAGAAAAAAATCCTGTAGATAATAAGGGAGAGGCAAGCAGCGGAAGGGCATCAGATACCTGAGGAGGTAGCAGACACCATGAAAATAGGGGTAGATGAGTTTTTAACGATGGAAGAAACTCAGTTGATAAGAAGGGCGTGCCAGAAGTTTCATTTAGCCTTCGCCTTCAATGACCACCAGAAAGGTCGGTTGGATGCGAAGCTAATTCCCCCCGTTAGGATCCACACAGTGGAACACGAATGCTGGAATGACAAGGGGCCTGCCTATGAATTCGGAATAGCAGCGGAGGTCACTGATTTGCTTAGAGCCAAAATATATTTGTTCGCGACCGAACCCACCGCATCCCCTTACGCGGATAAGCGGTTCGTTTTTCGGAAGCCCAACAAGACTCTCAGATGGATCCAGGACTTGCAGAAGTTGAACGCGGTAACAATCAGGGATGCGGGATGGCTTCCACAGGCTGACCTACTGGCAGAATCTCACGCCGGACGAAGCATTTACTCCTTAATATATCTATATTCAGGGTATGACCAACTGCCGCTTGACATGAGGGACAGGCCGTACACTGCCATGCACACCCCGGTAGGGCAGCTGCAAATGCAAGTGACCCCTATGGGCTTTACAAACCCTGTGGCAGAGGCGTAGAGGAGGATGCTTGCGGTCGCAGGAGACATGTTCCCGAAAAAATGCGAGCCGTACATAGATGATAATCCCATAAAAGGCGGGCGGAACAAGGACGAGATAGAGGTCCGGCCGGGCGTACGAAAATTCATTTGGGATTATCTACAGGACATCAAAAACCTGCTCCAGCGATTCCTGGTGTATAATATCACCGCAAGCGGACCAAAGAGCATCCTGGCAGTCCCATAAGTGACCATACTGGGGTTTCGCTGTGGGGCCTATGGAAGGAAACCTGACCCGACAAAGACAGTTAAGATCTCTCAATGGCCAACGGCCCTGTGCACCACGACGGAAGAACGAGCCTTCCTAGGGGTGGTTGGATTCTGGAGGATCTTTATCAAAGGCTTTGCAAAAATAGCTGAGCCTATCCGCGCAATGATTAGGGAAGGAGGGACTATGGAATGGACCGACGATAGGGAAGCATCAGTCCAGACCCTCAAAGACATCCTATCCTCATATCAAGTTACCTTGGCAGCACCCTACTTCAATGACGAAGTAGGGCGGCCCTTTATCTTGGAAACAGACGGAGGACCATTGGCAGTAGGAGGAGTCCTGATATAGAGAAGCGAGGAGGGCAAGGAAAGACCAATCAGGTTTGAGAGTAGGACCCTGAATTCGGCAGAACGGCGATACTCACAGTTCAAGAAAGAAGTCTTAGCCATCCTACATTGCCTTAAGACCTTCCAGGTATACCTATTCGGAAGACGATTTATCCTGAGAATCGATCCGACCAACGTCGTCGGGGCATTAAAGAACTACAAGCCTATAGACCCGACCGTTGGGAGATGGATAGGCTTTATATGGCAATTCGACTACAAGGTCGAACGAATTGCGGGGCTCCGAAATAGGGCAGACGGGCTAAGTAGGGTGTGCATCACGCCGGAGGGAATAGAGGATGCGGAGCTAATCGATGCCTTCCTGGAGTACGAAGGGGGAACCCTTGTCGTAGATAGCGAGATGACGGGCGCCGCCTCTACAATAGGGCAACTGTTGATTCAGACCCTGGAAAAGGGCGCGCCTGCCATAGTTGCGGAACTCGGGGAAGGGCCAGTCACTACAATTAGACGCAAAGATGAGAAGGATTCGTGGGGAGCAACGATGGGGCCGAAGGAAGAACTGGTGGCAATGGCCGTTGAAGGGGGTCGGGATGCTGTGATGTGCCTAGTAGAAACTTGGACGCGAAGGGAGCTACAGTGTCTAGTGAATCAGGCTCAAGAGGAGCAAGACACCAATCGGGAGGGACGAGAATACTTCCTTGTACAGATGTATGATGGCATCTTCAGAGAAATCGGTATGCTGCTTATAGGAAACAAGCAGCCTATGGAAGTCATCCCCAAGGCAAGGGAGGAAGCCGAAAGGCATGTTTTGAGGAACGGCCACCTGGTCAAGAAAGAAGAGGGAATGACGCCTAGGCGTGTCGTGTGCAGAAGGTCTAGGCAGTTTGACATAATTCAGGCGATTCATGATGGGCTAGCCGGAGGGCACCGGTCGTCCAAAGGGACCTTTGCAAAAACCGCGCCACAGGGATGGCAGGCATGGTGGCCACGTACTGTCAAACGTGTCTCATATGTCAGGAAAGGAGTTCCGCACGTGTCTTTGAGCCGCTTAGACCTACCCGGGTGTTGGGACCAGGACATCTGGTCCACCTTGACCTTGCGGTCATGCCTGTATCGACGGACGGATACAGATACATCTTGGATGCAAGAGATAACCTCAGTGGCTACATGGAGGCGGTAGCTCTTAAGAGGAAGACGGGAAAGAGAGTGGCCGACTGGATAGAGGATTTTTACCTAAGGCACCCCGTTGCATGCAGATTCATAGCAGACAATGGGACGGAGTTCGTCAACCAGGAGGTGTTGGGTAGGCTTAAGACGTTGTGCGTACCTATCAAGATCATCGAACCGTATCATCCTGAGGCCAATGCACCAGTAGAAAGGGGGCACCGAACCTTGAAAAACACGATCGCTAAGTTGGCAGCAGATGACCTGGTAAACTGGCCTCGGTACCTTAAGCAGGCCGTCTTCTCATAAAACATGACGGCGAAGAGGACGACGGGATGCATTCCGGCAGAACTCTAGTATGGGAGGGAGATTGATTTCCCGGTGGAAGCTTTGGTTCCTACCTGGAATAGACCAGATGACAATCCGCACATGTCTACAGAGGAACTAATCGCCACACGTTGCCAACAGGCCGTTAGAAATGAGGAAGCCTTGGAGAATGTGGTTAAGCGTGTGATGGACAACCGAATGAGGGACAAAGCAAGATGGGACCGGGTCAAGAACATCCGGAAGGAGCCGCACCAGGTGGGGGAAATGGTACTAGTTAGGAACTCGGCCCTTGAAAGCACATGGTCTGGACAGCTGGGAAAAAGGTTCAAAGGCCCCTACAGGATCGCTAAGCGGGTGGGACTAAACACTTTTGAACTTGAGGATCTTGATGGTACTAGGATAAAAGGGTCATTTCCGGGACAGAGGCTGGTCAGGTTTTTTAGCAGAGATCCGGTGGAGCAATGGTTACAGGAGGCTCAGGACAAGGAAATAGGGGAATTGACAACTTGAAAGGCAGGCAGCTGGTCATCATTCTGTACCGCTTCCCTGCGGAAGTAATCATGACTGCAGGGGTTGTTCGTTTTCGTGTCTCCTTTCCTTTTGAGGCATGGGGTGACTGCTTGGGTTGAGTATGGATGAGGCTGGGAGCCTGGGACAATGTACCATAGTTTTTGTGGGGTAATTTTGGGGACTGCCTATATGGGGTGCCTATGTGCTGGGACAATGTACCTAAGTTTTTGGGGGGGATATGGGACTGCCGCCTATGCCGTCACTCTCAGAGGGCTACCAATTATATGGGGGCAAGTAAGGGTTCTGGGCAACGAGCCTGCAAATTCGCAACGGGGGTAAGAGGGAATTTGTATGTATGAGGTTGTTGTGGTTTCGTTATGTATGAACAGGACCAGGGAAAAAGAAAACAGCCAGAAAGACAAAGATGAAATTCGAAAATGAGAATCATAGCAATGCTATAAACAGGCCCAGCGGGGAACAAGGGGCAAGGCAGGCCGGGGAACCGAGTACCAAAAAAAGAAAACTGTATGTGGGTTTTGACTTCAACTTGGTTGTGGGCAGAGGGGGAAGGAAGCAAGGGACCAGGGGACCCTCACCCCTGAGAGAAGGGGGACCAATAGATCTCCCGTCTGACAGTGACAGCAGTAAGGGGGAGAATGGAAGCCCAAGGAAGAGGCAGAGGTTGGATGAGGAAGAGCCCAACGAGGTCATAGACCTCAGTAGTGGGGAGGAGGACGACGAGGTTACAAAGCCAACAAAAGAAGTACGGGCAAGGGATGAGGACCCGGGTGATGACAAGGACAAATGGATAAAAGAGTTCGGGCCGTCTTGATGTGACTGGTTTGATCAATGGTCTAGTATCATGCGATATGAATGAGCGATCAAACGAAAGGAAAAGCTAAGCAGGGGAGAAGATATAGCGCCAACAACCTTCTTCAGGGAAGGAAGAAGCGCTCCTTGATCTGCAAAGAACGAAGAGAAGGATGCAGCAGGAAATCGACGATCCCGCGAGGGAGGCTCGACACAGGGCAACTGAGCAACAGGGGGACAATAAACATAACAGGCAATAACTAGAAAACGGGGAGGATGGGTACCCGGACAGACAAAACTGTCATTTTGGGCTTTGCATTTGAATTGTTTTGGGAATAAACCACTATGGGACAACTTTCCATTCGGGGAATGACTAAGGACTGGGCAGCTAGTGCTACTTTGCATAAGAACTTGTTTTTGTCAGAAGGACGTGAGGACCAATGAGCTTGAGACTAGAGCTATGAAGGACTGTCTACGTCTAGAAAAAGCAAAAAGGAAAAAGGGGATACAGATGAGGCGAACCTGGGATGACGTTTTGCACGTAAATTTTCCTTTTTTTATGGAAAGCCGCAAATGGGACCGCTTTTTGAAATGGGGAAGTAAACAGGGATTGGGTAGCCAATGCTACTTTGCATAAGTACTCGCTCCTTTTGAAAATGTGAGGATCCTGGATGGTGAGAGACGAACTGGGAATGATTGACTCTGTTTTGGGAAAGGGAAAAAGCATGGGAATTGTCGAGATTGAAGAAGTTCTATGGCAAAAGAGTTTTGTGAAATGTGGACCCTTGGATGAATGAGTCACGGTATGAGTCCCTGTGAGAGGTTAGGGGACCTATGGGTAAAGAGGCATGAGGGATCCTCTTCCCTAAGAGCCTAATCCAACCTGTCCCGGATAAGTCTAGAGCAGCAAGAGGCATGAGAGGTCAGAGAGAGAGAAAACAGTGATGATACACACCCCTTCGCTATGGTTGAACGACCGGGTGGGCTAGTGCTGCTCGGGGTTATGAGCCTCAATTCGAGCACTAGACGCTAAGTCGGATGTATGTATGAACATGAAAATGATGATTGACAAGAGACAGAAGGCAAAAGCATGCGTAAAACCTAAGAAGATGGCCACCTTCTAACCCCTGAGACAAAAATAAGATCCGTGTCCTCGAGGCCCACCCCCTCGGGCGCTAACATTGAAATGGATAAGGATGACCCTAACCAGGCTGTCCGATTGAAATGGATAAGGATGGCCCTAACCAGGCTGTCCGATTGAAATGGATAAGGATGACCCTAACCAGGCTGTCTGATTGAAATGGATAAGGATGACCCTAACCAGGTTGTCCGATTGAAGTAGATAAGGATGACCCTAACCAGGCTGTCCGATTGAAATGGATAAGAATGACCCTAACCAGGTTGTTCGGAATGACTCCTGACAAAGGTTATTATTTGGAATTGGCACTGGAGTCCCCTTGCATGGCTGCTTGAGATGGATAAGATTGAGAAGAGCTGAGCTTTGGAAAAGATATTGGACTCAGCCTTGGAAAGGATATTGGACTCAGCTTTGGAAAATGATATTGGACTCAGCATTGGAAAAGATATTGGATTGAGCCTTGGAAGAGATATTGGATTGAGCCTTGGAACTGGATTGAGCCTTGGAAGAGATATTGGATTGAGCCTTGGAATTGGATTGAGCCTTGGAACTGAACTGAGCCTTGGAATTGGATTGAGCATTGGAGTCGGATTGAGCATTGTAATTGGATTGAGCATTGAAATTGGAACGAGCATTGGAAATTGCATTGCATAAACAGGGGACCCTAGGCAACTTGAAATGGACATGGAAAGAGCATTGAAATGAATTTCTCTTTTCTTCTAGTCCTTGGCCTCAGCAAGAGGGGGATACCGGTGCTCGCACCGCGACCTCAATACCTCTATCCCCTTAAGGGGAAAAGTCTCAGCGCGACCTGTTCCTCTTAAAAGGGGATGAGGGTTAAAGGACCAAGGCACCTACCACTTGGATCAGTGCTGCCCGTCCGGAACCAACTCCGACAATGAGCTCTAGTCGGGGAGTTACTGCGCCTCGTGTTGAACGCCTAAACGTCAAAGGGTGAGAGAACCAAATGGGCGAGTGAGTCATTCTTATTCTAGTCTATTTCGCTACTCTCCAACCACACGCCATACCATAGAGGGGTGGCATGGCCGTTTGGGTCGGACCTCGGCTGCCCGCACTAAGTTGGGTGGCACTGTCCAAGGGGAGGGGTTGGCGAGGTACCGAGTGGAGGTCACCACCACCACGGGACATTAACACTGCCCTGCCGGAACATTACAACCATTTCGGGACTAGTTGCGAGGTCTTCGTAACTGCACTCGCGGACTAATAGAGAGCCCCAACTCTCTTGAAAGGAAGAGGCCGGATCCAAAAAATTACCACTCGGGAGGAACGATTCACGAGGGAAGCTCTTACGGATAGACGAGGCCCTGGAAGGCTTGGACTGGACCTACCTGCCAGATGTGAGGAGGAACCTCAGTATTGGTGCTCGCCACGTAATAGTAAAAGGTCGGATCGAGTAGGAGGGTGCGGCGCCACCCGCTGGGGAGGAACTGATCACTCTTCCCTTGTGAAGCGGATGGGCTTGTGTCCTTGACTGCGGTCGGCGGGCCAAAGGTCTGCGTACCTCCGAGTGAGAACCAGTCGCGCGATGGGGACATCGCGTTTTGAGTAGGGGGAAGGTGTGCTATCTACCAACGAGAACGCATATAAAAGACTTGTGTAATTGGCTTTGCATGGGNGCGCGATGGGGACATCGCGTTTTGAGTAGGGGGAAGGTGTGCTATCTACCAACGAGAACGCATATAAAAGACTTGTGTAATTGGCTTTGCATGGGCCTGAGAAAAGGGGCCTGGCAAGATGTCCAGAACAGAAAAGACTTGTGTAATTGGCTTTGCATAGGCCTGAGAAAAGGGGTCTGGCAAGATGCCCAGAAGAGAAAAGACTTGTGTAATTGGTTTTGCATAAGCCTGAGAAAAGGGGTCTGACAAGATGCCCAGAACATAAAAGACTTGTATAATTTGGTTTGCATGGGCCTGAGAAAATGGGCCTGGCTTGTGTAATTGGCTTTGCATGGGCCTGAGAAAAAGGGTCTGACAAGATGCCCAGAACAGAAATGACTTGTGTAATTGGTTTTGCATGGGCCTGAGAAAAGAGGCCCGACAAGATGCCCAGAACAGAAAAGACTTGTGTAATTGGCTTTGCATGGGCCTGAGAAATGAGGCCTGGCAAGATGCCCAGAAGATAAAAGACTTGTATAATTGACTTTGCATGGATCAGAGAAGAACACTGGCAGACAGGGAAATGGATGAGTAATTGGCTTGCATGGGCTTGAGAAGAAGGTCTGGCAAGGTGTCCAGAAGAGAGATGCAAAAGGGATGAACTGAGTATCGCACATGGAAAGTTAATTAGGCAAGGGGCAAGAAAGGACAAAGGGTGATATGCATGCGAAACTGGCAGGACTAAAGAAAGGTCGGGCGAAAGGACCCGGGAGAAATATATGTGGATTTGGCTAGGCCTGAGCTTTGAGGAGGAGTGACGGAATTGAAAACATGGATTGCAGGACCCGAAGGAAAGTGGAATTGAAAACATGGATTGCACGGGCCGAAGGACCCGAAAGAAAGAGGGAATTGAAAGCATGGATTGCGCGGGATGAAGGACCCGAAGGAAAGAGGGAATTGAAAGCATGGATTGCACGAGCCGAAGGACCCAAACGAAAGGGGTATTGATGATGGTGGCAACCAAAAATAAACCTGGTTGGCATGAGATGAGAAAAGAGAAGCCGAAGAAGATTCCTTGACTCCCCATACCCTCCTCCACCCCAAGGGGCGGAAAGCTAAAGGGAAACAATGAGAAAGGAACGGAAAAAGACAAAAATAACCCTGGCAAGCTAACTACCCGTCTCACCCCATCCCCTCTTCCCCTCTGTCTACCACTCCAAAATCCCTACTGACTATGGACTGGTGCGCGATAAGGACATCGTGAATGAGTGGGGGGAATGTATCGGGACTGGTAGGTCCCGAATAACATCCCGCCACTCGAGAGACTATATATGGCAGATTTGTGCACAACAGAGAAAACCGGAGGCAAGAAGGACAGAAAATGTTCAAGTATTGGTACCAGGGGCATGGAGGCTGCCCGGGTTGTCGAGGCCACGGGACCATGAAAGGAGTAGCGGAAGGGCAAGCGGTGAGGGACCGCAAGAAAATAGTCAAGGCGGCCGCTCCCCCGGAAAAGAAGAGGGACCGCCGAGAAAAGTGAATGACATGGGGGCGCGCGCCGCAAGGAAGGAAGAAGGGAGAGGAGATAGTAAGTAAGGTGTCGGCACGTGAAGTCGTAACTCAGGCCAGAGGGGCCGCCGGGATGCAACGTCAAGAAGACCAAGGGGCCACGGGCCAAGTAAGAACCCACGTTCGGGGAGGACGGTGCACGGAACACGAAAAGGACGAGGGAAGGGGGCCGCCATAAGGCGAAAAAATGACAAAAGTGTCGGGGACCAGCGACGGGACAAGTACCGGCGGGACCGCTAGCGGGACTAGTGTCAGGAACTAGCGCGGGACTAGTATCGGGAAACATATGGGACTAAGAAAAAAATGCGGTATCGGGACGAGTACCGGCGGGACCACCGGCGGGACAAGTATCGGCGGACCACTAGCGGGACTAGTGTAGGGGACTAGCGTGGGACAAGTGGTGGGGACTAGTGAAGTCCCGAGAAAAATTGCGGCACGGCAGGTGGTGCAAATAATTAAAGCAAGTTGCACCGTCAAGATCGGAGATATTGACGGTCAAAAATATTACCGCCACTAGTGCAAGCACTAGTAGGAGCAAGTGGAAAGGCCAAAAGAAAAATAGAAAGCAGAGAAATAAGTGGTGGGAGGCATGGGAGCAATCCGAAAAATCTCGGATTAGCCTCCCCCAAGGAAATGGAGTCCACAGGGGCTCCATGAGAAAAATAGGCCTCCGGGAGAAAATCGGAGTATGGGGGCCTACTTTTTGGAAGAGAGAGGGGCAAACGGTGGCTCCCAAGGGCATGGAAAGGCCACAAGTGCAGTCCGAGAAATAACGGACTGGCCCTTGGGCATAGGAAGGGCCGAAACTAAGAGGAAGGGTGGACTAGTAGGTCCCTATTCTCCAAGAAAGGAGGAAAAAGAAAAGAAAAGAAAAGAAAAATGAGAAAAGGGCCTTAACAGCTAGTTGACACTTGACATGCAAAAAGAAAAAGAAAA